ATGAAAAAACCAGCAATCCATAAACACCAATGGGCACAGAACCAAAAAGCTCCGCTGAAGCATGCTCTCTAGCGAAAGGACTGAGAAAAGGGCAGCTTAGGGGCGCCTGGGTGGCTCAGTCAGTTAAGCAACCAGCTCTTGATTTCAGCTCAGGTCATGATCACAGGGTCATTGAGATTGAGCCCTGCGTGGGGCTCTGCACTCAGCGGGGCATCTGCTTGAGATTCTCTCCCTCTGCCCCTCCCCCGCCCTCTCTCTCTCAAATAAATAAATCTTAAAAAGTGGGGTGGGACAGCATAGCAAGACAGAAAACTTTTAAACAGTAACTGCTTTACTCCAGCCAAGCATCACAGGAAGAAAAACAACAACCCTGGCTCCACCCACATCAGCAAAAGTTGAGTGAGAAGTCTAAACTTCCACCTTGCCAGGCTATATAATTAGGCATCCCAACCTCCTCCTGGGATGTTGTCAGAGAAGACCATGCAGAGAGCTAGGAATCTTCATCTTTTCATCCATGCAAGGCAGTTACAAATCCCCCTCCTCTTCAGTGTCAGGGCAGACCACATGGGGAATCCGGACATCTACCAACATATGGTAGTAGAATCCCCTCCCCACCACCTCCCGGCTCGAGTGGTATCAGCAAAGGCCACGTGGAGAGTCAGGACTTCTCCCCCTGCCCATCAGTAATGAGGCCACCCTCAGCAAAGTGTTCCTGCAAGCCACATGAGGAGCTTGAACTCCCATACCTGCCCAGCAGGTACGAGCAACCTCTTCCTTAGGTAGCAGTGGAGGGCAAGTGGGGAACCTGGACTTTTAGCTACCACCAGGCAGAAACAAGACAGCACCCCCCCACTCCCCTCCCCCACCACCAGTGGAATGGTGTCAAAGGAAATCAGCTAAAACAAAGTTTAAATAGGATCCCAAGTCTTATAATGTCACAAAATGTACAGGTTTCAGGCAAAAATCATTTATCATTGTAAGAACCAGAAAGATTTAAAAAAACTGAGTGAAAAAAGGCAATAAACAGATGCCAATACCAAGATGACAAAGATATTAGAGTTATAGGAAAAAATTTAAAGAAGCCATCACAAAAATGCTTCAACAAACAATTATGGACATGCTTGAGATAAATGAAAAAATGGAAAATCTCAAGAAAAAAAAAAACCATGAAGTCACCAGAAGAAGAAACAGAAGACAAAAAAATCCAATGAACATTTTAGAACTGAAAAATATAAAAGCCAAAATAAAAAGCTCACTCAATGGGCTTAACAGTAAAACAGAAGGGACAGAGATGGGGAAAGTCAGTGGATTTTTAGACAGAATGATAGAAATTACCAAATCCGAACAGCAGAGTGCGGAAAAGACAGAAGAAATGAATGTGTAGAGCCACAGGGGCCTGTGACACTATAACAAATGACCTAGCTTTCAAGTCATCAGCCTCTCAGGAGGAGAAGACAAAGAGGGCCGGCTATACAAGTACTCGAAGAAAGAATGGCTGAAAAGTCCCCAAATTTGGAAAGAAGCAAATCTACAGATTCAAGGAGCTGAATGAATCCCAAGCAGGATAAATAATTTAAAAAAAAAATCCACACCAAGACACATCATAATTAAACTTCCAAAAACTAAAAGCAAAGAAAAAAATCTTGAAAGCAGCCAGGAAAAAAAAAAAAAAAAGACAGCTATAGAGTTAAAAATGTGTATCACAGCAGATTTCTCATTAGAAACTATGGAGGCCAGAAGGGAGTGGAATAACATTTTTAATTCACTGAAAGAAAAAGCTGTCAATTCAGCAAAAATATC